CTCTCCCTTGAATGGTAATGAGCTTATAGAAGTTGTGCTTTTTACAGCGAGAAATTAGCCCTTGTGCGGGCATCAAAACTGTATAAAGATCTCGAGCCCAAGCAACTTCCTATTGTATATCATCCAATTTATAACATATCATTTTGTGGGATCGAGCGATGCCATCCGTTCGACTCGCGCAAGTGGGGACGTGTGCACGACATACTAGTCGGTATGTTTTGCCGCTTCGATCCTCCAAAATTCTCCTGTTTGCGTGTATTTTGAGAATGAATCAGGCTTTCATAGTTCCTAATTTTCTTCCGTGCTGCCTTAACTGAAATTTTACGCTTGCTTATTAGAAGGAATATTAGCACTGGTTTTTCCTCCGCTCCATCTGAAAACTCCGCCGCTCTCGCGGGCAGGACGAGCGGTGAGACCTGGTTTCGGCACACAAAAGGCCCACAGACATTGTTATTAAAATGACTAAAAGTAGACAGGATCGCTTGGCAGCTTGCCTTCTGAGAAATACAACAATTCATTGGCGTAAATTTATGAATTTTTTTGATGAAACTAGCTTTTTGCCAATTAATGACTTACAAAAATAGATGAAAACTGGCCACAGACAGGTAGCAACCCTTCGCATCTTTCGATTCTTAGCGAATGTTTTAAAGAGCTCGAATTCAGTGGATTTTCGAGCCCTTGGAACTATGAAAATTTATTGTGTTTTTGGAAAGTCTCTGTTAGTTGAAAAGTGTTGTACCGTTTGTGCCTCTAAAGTTCGTAGAAAGGAAGCCTCAGAAATATAGTTCTTTGTATTTTAGAATCCGGGATGATCGAGGAGGGACAAACAGTTATGCCGTCGGAAGCGAGCAATTCGGATCTTCGTGTCGTGCACACGTCACTCTACCTCTCCTCACTGAATTGCCCATGCCATGTTGCAAAAGTGGTTGAAGTTGCACCCGTTGCTTTAATACCTCCGTGCATTATCCGTCGAGTCCTCTTGAAACCATTCCGATATCATACTGGTTTGTGTTTCGCTGAGACCGCTTTCTCCACACTACACCATTTTCTCTCTCATTTTTTCCAGTCTTTTTTATCCATTTAGCGCAAATCGTTTTCGCTGAGAATATCTACGAGGAAGGAAACACGGCACTTAGGCTGCATCAGATGAGATGGCACATGTACGTATTGGATACGGCGAGTGCGTTTCCATGATACCGTTGAGACATGGAGCTGAGGGGTTTGGCATAGCAGTGCCCGACATCTCAATAATTCCATACCACCAACAGAAAACAGCACAGCAGCGGTCCAAAAAATCTTAATATTCCTGGTTTAAATCATGCACCATTCGGAACTACACAGGGCCGGAGGGGTGCCTTGGCACGATTGCACGCCGATAGTGTGAGAATGGGTATTGTGCATGTTATTGCATTATGTCAAGAATTTTGCAGCAACGAAAGTTTGTTGTTTTAGTTGTAGCGGTAATTTTTGAAGAAAAATGCGGCATTTGAGGTGGTACGATACTGGCAGCACGACTGGCACTGGAACACGGCTGGGCCATCAATATTGGCGGTGGCTTTCATCATGCAAGTGGCAACAGTGGTGGTGGCTTCTGTGTTTATGCTGACATTTCGCTCGCAATAAACTTCCTCTTGCTGAATCAACTGATCGGCAAAGCAATGATCGTCGATTTGGATGCCCATCAGGTGGTCACTGCTTTTGTTTGAAGTCGCGCCTCTTCCCATGGTCTCTTGAGCAGATTGCAGCTTCCCGGTCAAGCAATCCTGGAAGTGCAGATGGCAGGGTGTAAAGCTGTAGGAGGAAGTAGTAGTGTAGATTGTTGGTGAGAGCGACATAAGACGTTTCGGTCCATTAAGTCATACACAAGTCACTCCTAATTTTGCAGTCTGATGCTCATTGCATTCTCTCATGCATATAACTCTCGGCGCTCCTTGTAGAAGTGATGCATGCATTTTGCTGAGACGTAAAGAGAGGTCATTAGCAGGTTGGCTAAAAGATCACTGAAACGTCGGGAAATGTGAAACATTTTTGCTTCTGCTTGCAAAAAAGCGATGAACACAAGTCATTGGTAGGCCAGCCATCAGGTCGTGATCATCATGATAAGGTTGCATGCTGCGTTGATGGTTAGCTGGTGAGGGGAATGCTAGTGAGGATATTAGAATGGACCCTTTGTTATTTTAACTGGTAATTATTTCACTGACAACTTACGTGAAACAGCCATAATTGTTGATCTAGTTTCCTAACTGCTACGCACTTGGCAGCTTTTTCAGTTGCTTTGACCAATACTGCATCGTTTTGTGGTCACCCTGTTATTGATCCTGATATTTGCTTCGTTTTTTGAAGGGATTACGGGCCGAATGACAGGGGCAATTAAGAGCAGGAGGAACGAAAAAAAAACTAGGTGAGCTGGGTTGCTCGTTTGATATACTCGAGCATTTTCCCGACATCTGATCGCAGCAGCAAAATTTACTTCCTCGTATGGTGCTTCTCTTTGCATTCTTCTTATGGGGAATTTTTTCATCAGTATGAATGTGTTTTCCAGGGTAACGGCCACGAAAATGATTTTTACGGCGATAGACGCGTTTATATCATGGATATGTTCAACAGTCACATCTATCCTCACGATTCTAGGGCCAGGCGTGAGTTATCTCTTCCGGTCTTACTGGCAAAATTTGAGCATGAAGTTTTGCATAAGTATCAGTGTTGTGTTTGAAAAGAACTTTTTTACCATCTTTTCCTCGGTCGCTGTTTCAAAGAACCAATTTTGGTTCAGTTTTTGATTCTCAAGCCAGTTATTATTTTTCTAGCCGCGTTGCTGACTAAGATAAGTTCCGCGTTTTTAAACTGGCTTTTTTCTTCCGGTGTTTTTCGTTTCATTGCGTTCTGGTGTTTTTTTGCCTGTAAGTGGAGGCGAAGCTTTGTCCATCGAGTGTATTCGCTCGGTGATATGCCAGATGGATTAACCTTTTGCGATGAGAGGAGTATCAAATATGTTAGGCAAAGGACACTTTTTCCCCGACCTGATTTGTTTTTTAGGTGCGATAACGAGGGCGGTAAAGCTGCATATTGACATCCAGGATGGCGAGTATCTCACTTTGCTTTCCAGTAATCTTAAAGCAGCTCTGAGTCAATTTCGGCCCGATATAATTGTGTATAATGCCGGGACAGACTGTCTGCAATATGACCCACTTGGATTGCTCTCAATAACGCCGAAGGTTTCTTTAGTTCCTTTTGTTAAGTCCTAGTTGCTGTTTCTTTTCAATTCTTCTGGTTTCTGTTCAGAAAAATATACTGTATAGCATACTGCTGCATATCAGTATGCTATACAGTATATTTTTGCGAATATTATTTATGACGGGTGCAAGTAAGACTTATTGAACTGGTGCTTTTCGGCAATTCAGTACAAATCGTCGCAAAATTTTACTCTTCTTTGCCCTCCGCAGTGCCACCTCCCCCGACCTCGTCTCACCTCTCTCTTCCCCATCGCGCTTTCAAATTCGTATGCAAAATCGAACAGTGAATGAAATTGCGGTACATTTTGAACAGTTTTATAATGAAAAAGCACTGAAGGAGTGGTAGCCAGAAAGGTATAGTCTTGCTAGGGGACCATCTGGGTCTTGTAGGGCAGTGTGTTATTTATTCCATTATCTTTTTGGATAAAATTTTGTGGTATTTTTGGCACGAATTTTAGCTTTCTAGTATTTTTGATCATCCGTTCTGTGCACTGAAACCGTACGAAACCAGTTCGTGCTGCCGCTGCAGCTCATTGATCGTTGCCATTTTGCTTTTTGGATGAATTTTTTCCATTCATTCATTTGTACCTTTATAGGGCATTCGAAAGCGCGATGAAATTGTTTTCAAAATGGCGCGCGCCCGAAAAATCCCGATTGTGATGTTGCTGAGTGGTGGTTATATGCCAGACACTCATGAAGTGATTGCCAAATCAATCATGAATTTATTCAACAAAAAATTAATAGGGGCTGTTTCATAACTGATTTCATGATTCCGGTGTCCAATTTGTAAACTTGTACTCATGAACGAAGTAAAATTTATTTTTCATTTTTGTACAGCCACTGAGTCCATTCCTGAGGAAAAGGCGGAAACGGCAGAACGTGCAACTTCACTTCGACAGCATTTTCATATATTTATTTATTTATTTATTGTTGACAGCCGGTTTCTGGACCGGTTTATTTTGTCCGGAAGTCAGCCGTATTCTTCGCCGCGAAAAAGTCCAGGCGTTTTCGGCCCAATGTGGCATGAGTCATAAAGAAGGCAGACCCAATTGTAACATCCTGTAAAGCGCAGGTATCGGGTGCACAGTGTGGCAGAAGCATCAAGTGTAGATGTTATCGGCGTAGCTGTAGTTGTGGCTTTTTACCACCGTTGTTTTAAACAGTTTGTGCGGAGGGCTTGTTACCTGATTTTGATTGTTTTTGTAGCGTCAGTCATAAGGGACGTTTTGCTGAGTGTAAATATAACGGCTGTGGTTTTAGGTCCGTTGACCTAAACGAGAATTGAAGCAGGCCACTGACTGGAAAACTGCGAAAATTTTGCTTTTGAGTTTCATGTTTTTGGCAAGTAGAGCGTTGACGAGTTGCAAGAGGAAGGCAGAATCAGCAAAAGTAAAGCTACTTCTCAGTAAAATCGCGTCTCCGAACAACTCGAGACAAACTTTAGCTTGAACTGCATCAAAATTCGAAGACTGGGAGTGAACTTCGTCACGTCGCGACTAATACAAGACGCATTCTCGGGGGAATCTTCGACTTTCTTTTCTCCAACGTACAGGGTCACTGTCAACCGGAAGAAATAAGCACTGCTGTTTCTATAAAACGAGGATGAACACTGGAAGGACGGGTAAGCTAAGGCTGAACAGAGAAGTTGAGATCCCAACGGCAAATCAGGAAGCGAAAGGCCTGGCTCAGCTCATCCCAGCATGTGGATTCACCACCATGACATCATAAAGCTCTACGACGAAGATTGGGGTGATGGTTTTTATGCATTTTTGCGTATGTGCAAATGCGAAAATGAATATTCGCAAGAGGCTGTCTCTATATGTGTGTGTGTGCGTGTGCCTGTGTCTATATGTTCGATCTTTTTGTCACCCACTCTCAACTCGAGAACCAGAAAAGCTAAAAAGCTGGAACTTCGAGAGTATGTGCTCACCATCTGCGCGGCTCTCTCGTTTTAATATTATCAATCGCGTACCTCTGGGTCTCACGTGTGGACGCCTCAGAAAAATATGCTAATTTTTTGGCTGGAAATCGATCTCGAGAGCCAGACAAGATAAAGAACTGAAACTTTTGCAGAGATATTCTCTGCTCGTGTTTGAGCTAAAGATTTCAAATTCAGCCTCTAGATTTGTGTAGTTATCACTTACGAGCGTGTGGAAGTTTTGGCAGAAAAAGTGCTAACTCGGCAGCCAGAAAAGCTGGAGGGATGAAATTTGGAGAGGATGCTCCCCGTCCATACACTTAAAGATTTAAAATTCAGCCCCCAGGTATGCTTGGTAGCTTCGCACGGGCATGTGAAAGTTTTGACGGCTGAATTATTGAAAATTATTAGCTCGAGAATCAGAAAAGCGGGAAAGCTGAAACTGAACCATTCATTCAGTAAGCAACCTGACTGCTTCAAGTCAGGTGCAAAAACGTATGATCGCATCGGCAAGTCTAGTGCGTTCCAGCCTGGTTTATTTTCCGCGCCTTTTATCCCCTCCC